GCTGGTATTTTGTTTAGTTATATATTAATAGGGCCGAGTGAGTGGAGGTGCGCAGGCAGCAGCACTGTTCTGGGGTGAATTTTCAGGGTTCTGCACCGCTTATTTTTCCTAAATAAAATGTCAAAATTGGTTGTTACTTAGTTGCTATTGCATTTGTATAACATAATGTTTGTCTCTCTTGTTTTTTTTTTTTCTTTTCTAGATATTTCAAGGGAACACTGAATTGTACCAGGAAGTTCGCAATAATTTCATTCCACCTATTATTGCACGCTTTTTTAGGATTAACCCCTTAAAATGGCACCAGAAAATTGCAATGAAAGTAGAATTGCTAGGATGTCAGTTTAGTATAGGTAAGGCAACTGAAAACCTTTCAACTGTGCAAGACAAGCAGTGAAATAATTTGGCAAAGACTACATTGTGGGTATATTTTCCATGAGAAAAAAGTACTTCTTAGCTGCATAATCCTTCTGTAACTGATAATTTGGAATTTCTTCCAAAGTTATTACACTTAACCTGGAAAATACCTAGTTTAGGCGTAAACAAGGTAATTTAGAAAATAAGTGTTTCAAAAGACACCAGTCACTTGCTTTCCATGTTACTGATTCATGGGTTTTTCCCCTCATTATATAACATGACCAAAAGCTTTAGAGCAAACTGTTCCAGCTGTCTTCTCCTGAAAAGGAAACACGGAAAACTAGCACTTCAAAAAACTTCTTTAATAAATTCTTTTCTTCTAAAGGCCGTGCTCCTAAAATCACCATGCCACCACCACCTCAGAACAAGAATGTCGACAAGAATGATGACTTCAGTGATGACTTCATTCATTCAGTGAAGACTTCATTGCAGACAGATAAAACAACTTTCACACCTGAAATAAAAAACACCACAGTGACTCCAAGTGTAACCAAAGGTATCCACAGTTAAGCAGTAAAACCGTTCGGGAACTCCTTACAGTACTTTGGCATGTATTAAGTGTGCTTTCTGAGTTTAAATTTTCTCAACACTTAATATATTCTAGCAAATTATAAATCTTTTTAATATTTACCAGTTATTAAATATACATATGATACTGTCCTGGTTCTGGCTGGGATAGAGTTAATTTTCCTCCCAGTAGCTGGTACAGGGCTGGGTTTTGGATTTAGGATGAGAATAATGTGATAACACACCCATGTTTAGTTGTTGCTAAGTAGTGCTTACACTAGCCAAGGGCTTTCCAGCTTCCCATGCCCTGCCAGCGAGAAGCCAGGAGGGGCCACAGCCAGGACAGCTGACCCAAACTGGCCAAGGGATGTTCCATACCATATGATGTCATGCTCGGTATATAAGCTGGGGGGAGTTGGCCGGGGGGGGG